CTCTCTAAGCAACCTTAAAGGCACAGTTCGCGACCGCAAATTGCGGGAAACGGAACTCAAATAGGCACAAAAAAGTGCTAAGTATCTGATTAGCGGAGAAAAGCAGCAGAAAAAGCAGTCCGAAATGTTATAGAGAAAGATAACATAGTGGCTACTAGCTAGTAGCTAGCAGCCGGTGAGGGTCGGCATGGGCCTAAGGGGTGTCCATGGGCCTAATTAGTCAGCTTCTAGCGGAGTTCTTGCCGTTTTTCACATTTTGAAAGTAGCGCAGCCTCAAAAATCGCCTTCCGGATCGTCCGACCGGATTGGCGTAGATGAGATATGCCATATTTTCTATCGCGGAATGCGTGCCTTAGAGTGATCTGATAATCGACCGGACTCGCACCCAACGCCTTGTCTACACGTCGTCGCACAGTGCTGCGCTATCGAGCTGGTTGGCTACTCTTGATAATCTCGATTCTATGAAGTACCCATTACTACCAAGCGTGGTTACATTGGATATTAAATTACATCGCAACCATATCTATCACAAGCTGTGGTGTGGACGGTGCCCGAACGGGAGAATCTGCGTCCCAAAAAATGCTCGTCTAGTGCCATGCAGAACATTTTGTTTTTCCGCAGGTTTTTGGCAGTTAACTTAGCCTTAGGGGTCATTTTCCCCCTTTATTATAGCGCCACTGGCTATCTATCACTACTACTATGCTAAGATTATTGTGCCGCATGGCCTATAATCTGAATACTGTTCTATGTGTGCTGATCGGAGACCCCCCCCCCCGCTTGACGGGGCTGACTTCGAGAAAGGATCAGTATTTTGGAAAAGAAATACCGGAACGGCCCCTGACATCGAAGTTCTAAAGACTATAAGCTGCATTTCCTGATCACCCTGCCCAGTTTTCGGTCGGAAACCGAAAGAGACCCCGCCCACAAAAGACCTGAGACAGGAAAAAACTTTTAACCACTCCAAAATAACCTCGTGAACCGTCAGCAACTGAAAATTACCCTCACTCCTCGATGTATCCTAATCATAGATCTATCATCCTCTACTATTGCTTATCACACACTATCATTCAAAGTCCTTATGAGAGAATACAATTCGTTATCATCCTGTATCACTTTCACATCAGCTGCTGCAAACCATAGGTATACTCCTCATCATTACGGACTGTCGGGGCGGGTCAGTGCGGCTGCGTTTTCCGCGGTTCCAAAGTCTTTCTGCACCAGTTGTTGAAGCGATCAAATGACATAACAGCATTATATCCTTCGTATTACTCGTTTTCTACCACTTTTTGTCGCATACGCGCTTCAAAGAAAAGGCTGAGAACGGCTTCAAACAGTGTGCGCACTCCTTCTGGCCGATACGCCCCGACAGTCCGTAATGATGAGGAGTGTATGCAACACGCATTACCAATCACGTAAAGCAGGCCTCGCTGTAGAGCGAAATTCTTCAAAAACACACCCCCCCCCCCGAAATTTCCCCCTCTGGTACGACTACCTCCCCATCCTACCCGCGAGCTTTTCTGACCTTTCCCAACATGCCACCTTTTCCCGGAAGTTTTGTTTTCCAAAATTCCTCTCTCCGTTCTCAGGCACTGCCCAGCGAAACATACATATGAGCGCCCTAAAACAACGAAAAAAAACTTGAAACAACCAAAAACTTCCCCCGGAGACAAACTTGTCCCGCCGCATTCCTTCTGCCCACCAAATAAGACCTGCTCGCTGGGGGTCCTCAATGTAGATGTGGGCCTGTCACCGCCAATAGCGCGTTTCTCAAGGCCAAGCGGGTAATGGTTCCAGCAGATGGATGATCTGCGCGTGAAGGCGAAATTTCCTAAGCTCTGAAGGGGAGTCAAAAAACCAGAACCGTAATCGCTGCTTTTACATACGGACCAGGCAAAAGCCGCGCCACACTTAAGCGCGGTTGAAAGAGGCACTTTTACGGCAGATTATAGCAAGGATAGCTTCCATCCAGCAGAGGGCGCACTCGTCAGCTCAGGGTGCACCACTAGTCACTACAACCCTAGCCATTATCTGCGCGGAATGGCCTTTTATATGAGAAATGAGAAAAGCTAAGCCGCTACTTGGAATGACAATGCTACTTCCGCTAGCTTTGGTTGAGACACATTCATACTTCGCTCTGATCGCAAGCTCAGAGCTATCCAAATCGCCAAGTATAAACGCGCTCTCACTTTACAGTAACCCTTCACACGTCGTAACGCCACGTCATTATTTGCCGGAATACCCGGAATATCTACAGTATGAATCGAAAATATACAGTTACAGTGAACGACTGTGCGACGGACCGCGTGTTACCACCCGCGCGGTCGTGGGTTCGAATCCCGGGCCAACTCCCGCCCTGGCCAACCTAGCATTTTACCCTACGGGGACGGTGAATTGGTACTAGATTCGTCTGGAGGACTAAAGTACTCTTTGTACATCGCCTGGCCGCCGCAGGTCATCGCATTCAATAAGCAACTACGATTCTGAATGGAATGCGTGCCGCATCCCACAAAGGGATTGATCAACGGCGAAGACTTTATCCATTAGCTCTCTTTTGTGCAATGTTTGAGAGGATGCGGATTCTTTCTTCCTTCTTATTTGATACCGGGAATGTTGTACTTTTTGACGATGTTCCAAAGATCACCACGGGTAATGTGATAAAGCTTGGAACTCTGCGGCGAATACACTTCCTTCAAATGAGTCATGATGGCATCCATGGATACTTCTGAAAAGAAAACTCATCTCTCCTATACAGAGAAGCAAAAGTGGCGCTCATATAGTAAGAGCACACGGTTCAGTACCTCACCCTGCCAAGGCACAGAGGCACTACTTACCCTTTTTTCTCCCTCTCACCCTAAATCAGGCCAGTTTTTCACAGCCTTTTCATCTCCGACAGAATTGGCTAAAACGTTGTCCACTGGGGTAGTTCGACCTAACCGAATCCACGTTTGTTGGAAGTCAACAAGACATTTGGGAGGATACGCGGGATAGAGCAGCCTGCCTCTACTCGCCTGCACCTTCCTCCCGAGTGATCGATTTGTTTGCTGACACTGCGCCTGATCAAGGGGGAGGATCACTATCACAGGCAACCAGAAAGGGTGGCATTTTAAGGTTTCCGTAACTGCCCTGGCATATCGCTCGGCACGAAGCTGACTGAAGTCCGACCTTCACACGCAGAAGTCGAAACAAACATGTGATGAGTCGCTTGTGAAGAATGCGTCAAGCGGTTTTAGACTGGATGGATACCATATTTATGTTCATGATGTCAACTACCCCTGCGATCCAATTTTCAGGGGCTTGGATGATTTCAAAAATTTTGGCGTTGGCGACTGTAGAGCGGACGTCAAGCGATTCTGGACTAGGCATATGCGATATTCATTTCAGCGAATTTGGTGGCTCAGGGCATTAACGCTATCGCCAGTGACGCGGGCGCTTGAGGGTTTCGGGCCAAACAGATGTGATATTCATAATCAAAAGGTCAAACTATCTCAGGGACAACTTTTTAGCCGTCTGCGTTCGTAGAAAGTCAAAAAGGAGTCAAAAACTGGTCCGATTCTGGATGATTGGCGAAGTAAAGTTTGTTGCGAGATAAGTTTTTATAGCTTCTTCCAACGTCGTTATTTTCACATCAACTCATTACGCGTACTATTGGGCTGTCACTGCTAGCCCTGCTCAGCATGGAAGCCCCACCTACTTGGGAGAAGCTCCGCCCCTCGGCGAAATGACGGAAATAAGCAGCTTGAATCACTCGGCACCAAAAAGCGGGCGACCTCTACGCTGAAAAGCGAGAGTGGCTGTGGTGGCGGTGATCTGGCTAAATCACCGACCGGTGTGAAAAAATAATATTGTCTAGTTCGATCTAAGAAGTGTCCAACTGATTTAAAAAATATCCGATTCAAATTGAAAAAGAAATATAATACAAATGCCCATCATCAGCAAGTTGCGCGTCGCGTCGTGTAACTCGAGACTGGGTAGTGGACCAGTAGTGCCTCTGCGCCAAAATACTATACTCGAAGGTGGCGACATACCTTCTAGAAGAGATTTTAGGAACAACTCCTGTGAAGTTGATAAACGAAGCAGAGCGACGTCAATCTCATGACCAGCATGGCCAAAACATCCATAAGCACTAACGCTTCCATCGCTCCTGATGTGTACATTCATGAAACAAGAGCAGCTTTCCGTAGTTTTTCTAGAACGGCCACATCTCACCGTTCCTTTACGCTTGTGTTTTCCAGCTCTGTTACACCTGAAAAAAGTACGGTCTCAAACAACCTTCCAAAAAGTCACTTACCAGTTAAGTCCGCCAACTTACCATGGAACTTTGAATGGAGACCTGGGTAGATCGATAGAGTCTATAAGGTTATTTACAAATATAGATAGCAAAACTGCAACCTGCATTTCACAAGCAACTTATGAGCAGGTAAAGTTTGTAATGGTGCAGTGGGGTGGAAGCTCGGTGGCAAGCAAGCAAGGTGGCAGGCTGTGAAGCATACTCACCACCAAGCCTCCAGCCTACTGCACCATTACAAACTTTACCTGCTCATAAGTTGCTGGTGAAAAGCAGGTTCAGTTTGTACCTATCCATTATTTGTAAATAACTTGTATAGACCAATGCGATCGACCCAGATTCTCATTCAATTCAGTTCAATGGTAAGTTGGCGGACTTCCCCTGGTTATCTGGCAACGCCGAGCTGAATTGCAACTCATGGAACGATATCGCAAAAACCTAAGGTAAGAAAAGTATCAGTTATTTTTCTCCTCAGATCGTTAGGCAGTAGAGTCCTGGCAAGGCGGTTCTTAGATAAAGAAAGTACAACTGACAGGAGCAGCCAACATTTTACGACATCAACCACAACTACAGCTCAAACCAAGTGTGCATAATGAACGTCATGTTTTTTTAAAATATGCTTACCAATTCAATCACACACCTTTCAAGACCGATGCATGGTTCAATAGGCGCGATTTCCCACGAGCGACGGCTATGGCCGGGTAGGTACGAGAGGCTTCAGGGTACCGACGGCTACCGACGCCACGCCGCTTGAGTTTTATATGACTTTTGCTGCACCTATCAACAAACTGATGCAGCTGGAGAATTTGCCGCACGTCGATTTAGTGCGTTCTGCATCAAACAGAGTAAAACTCGTAATATGGTGCTGTCCCGGAGCCTCATTGCAATCTGAATATGAAACACGTGAAAGAGGCGCCAAAAATTTATTGCAAAAGCTCAAAAGATTCAAGAAAGTTTTTTCATTGTTCCCATACCTTCGGATATTTCGGTGCCTAGCACCTTCTTCAGCGATCTGGTCTTTTCCTCCAATATCCGCCTCCGCTGCTCCTTGCAAAAGCCGCGGAGCAGCGGAGGCGGATATTGGAGGAGAAGACCAGATCACTGAAGAAGGTGCTAGGCACCGAAATATCAGAAGAAAGGACTAGGAACAATAAAAAACTTTTGCGAAACTTTTTGATTCTTTTGAATCTTTTGCAATGAATTTTTTGGCGCCTCTTTTCGTGTTTCATATTAGATGAAAAACTCTTGCTAAGTGATACCTCATTGTGATGAAATTGCCATTGACAGCACTGTTCCGGCGAGTCAATGTCGTGTTGTTGCGCTCACACTCCTCTTCAAGCCATCTCTACAAAAAGAAACATTAACATAACAGATGTTGGACAGAACTTAACGACAGTCCCCGCTCAAGCAACTTGTAGTCATCGTACCTTGCACAAGCGTCAGTTTCGACGTATCCCTAGTTGCCCCGCCCACCAGAACTCAAAAGCTATTTTCTATCAGAAGTTCAGTTTTTATACTCTATTTTTCTTTTTTTTCACTCGCAGATGGTAATAGCATAGAATGGCGCAGAGAAGTGGTTGATGAGCCGAAGTAGGCAGGATATCGCTGGCAAAAAATGAGCAGATCCGGAACTGGTCCAGAGCGGTGTATGTCGGATGGCGCTGCTGTGAACTGTCATAATACTATTAGGTTGTCCGGAAAGTTCTCAGCGTTTTGTGTTACTATTTTTTGTACATTCATTGCTGATTAAAAACTCATTCTCCCTTGCGTCTCAGTAGTACATCCTGAAGAGAATTCTTTGCGCTATCTGATGGTATAATTGCCGTTTCACCATTGCTTGATAAACCCCCTTTTCCCAAGACTTTGAAGCATGTCAAAAGAGCAACTTCGGACGATATTTTTCTTCAACTACAAATTGGGTCAATCCGCAGTCGAGACAGCTCGACAAATTAACCAGGTGTGGGGGCCCAATAGTGTTGGAGAAAGCACCGTGCGACAATGGTTCGACAAATTTCGTTCTGGAGATTTCAGCCTTGAAGATGAACCTCGTAGCGGTCGACCTAAAGCAATACCTGACGAGGATTTGAAGGCGTTTGTGGAGGCTGACCCATCCCAAACAGTTCGAGAGATTGCAGAAAAGCTAGGCGTTGGCAAATCAGTGGGTGCCCCAAATTTGAGTGACCGGCAGAAATTGGCACAACGACCCGTTTTTGGACCGAATTGTCACCTGTGATGAAAAGTGGATCATGTATGATAACAGGAGACGTTCCGGACAGTGGTTGGATGCCGACGAACCACCGAGGCAATTTCCAAAGCCGAATCCTCACGAAAAAAAGATTATGGTCACAGTGTGGTGGTCATCGGCTGTGATCCACTATAACTTTTTGTCACCAGGCCAAACCATCACAGCAGAGTCCTACTGTGAAGAAATCGACGAAATGTACCGAAAATTGCGTCAGCTGCAGCCAGCACTTGTCAACAGAAAGGGTCCGATTCTTTGCATGACAACGCCCGCCCGTTTCACAAATCACTATCTATCCATAAATTGAACGAATTGGGGGTTGAAGTTCTACCTCAACCGCCATATTCTTCAGACCTTTCGCCAATCGACTATCACCTTTTCTAACATTTTCAGAACTTCCTTGTTCTGCAATTAGGATCAGGAGAGACTCTCGTGGATCGTGGATTCTCTGACACGCCAGCAACTGGTGTCACATTAGCAAAAGTGCGCTGATTCGAATGGTGCTCATTTCGATCAATTCCGATGAATATTAAGAAAATTATGATCGTCTAAAGACAGCCCGCGCTCGAGTAGTACATGGTCGTCCTTCCTTGTGCAAGTACAGCCCCCAAGCTAGAGACTGTCCCACTCTATTCGTCTGCACAGCGAGCGAGAAGCGAGCTACAGCCGCTGTAAGTTCTAGTTCTAACGCCTGCTCAGTTGGACCGCGGCCTACTTGCTAGATGTCCTCTGACGGAGGCCACTCAGTTGTTCTTAGTCGGGGCGGCGGGCATTGCTAATGCCCATGGATAATTCTGCTCCCCTTTATTACAGTTTACTCATTGGAGGTATATACATTCAATTCAACTCATTTCGCGAGGTGAAACGCGTAAAAAGCACGAGTGACGCAATTTTCGTGATGCAAAACCTCGACGCACAAAACGTGCGCTACCGTAATCCCAAATTCAGACACCGCCAGAGTGCACAGTTGGCTAGATGCTTGCGTTCATAAAAATTCTTTTTTCGCTTTCAGAGTTTTTTCCTCTGAAAAATTTTTTGTTGTTTTCTTTTGTATTCTTTTTTTTGCACTGGATGATATCAACTACTGCGAGATGTGATAGAGAGATTTGTGAGCTAGGGGTTGCACAGAGACCGCAGGGAGGTGTGAGGGAGCGATTTTGTTTATGTTGTTCTGGAGGACGCTTCTTGCCTGTTTTCTTCTTTGGGAGATTACTTATCAGCTACTGTTTCATAATTGTCGCGGCAGCTATCCATTAAAGTGAAACACTAAAAACGCTAGAGAACGTTCCGGACAACTAATACTAAGGCGTGTGTTGCGCATCTCGCAGGTGCCGTGATATCTCGTACCATTCACTTAAAATAGTGATAGAGGCGCTTGATCAACCTCAATAAACAACAGTTCACTGGAAAAGTTCACTGATAAAGTTACTATCACTACCATTCGCATCAGGTAACCTTTTCTGACAAGTAGCAGAGTAATAAAGGGGTGTGCAATAAATACGGCGAAAACAAATCGTAGAAGGCTTTGAAAAACAACGGGAATGCCGAATCAGTCATCAGTGCGGCGTAGCCATCCATTATAGCGGCGTTTATGGTGCGCCCTGGGACGAGTTTGCCCGATGGCGAAAAAAAAGCAGAAGAGGGCGGCAGGTGGCATTACAGTTGACAGCGGCAGCTGCTGCAATCAAGTCTCCTCCGTCTCCAAAGAGGCTGCAAGGGTCCTTACTTCAAGCCCTTGCTTTTTGGACTAATATGCAAGCGGAAGAATTTATCACTTTTTAGATATCACTGCTCTCACCATAGGAAAAATATTTCTTCACGCGTCTCAAGAATTAAAAAAAATCTTTGCTGCTCTACAATCAAATCAAAACAAAAAGCCAGATCATATCAGACCCACCTCGAATTCAACAACTGTTTCGAATTTCACAGTAAATACCCTGTAGTCTTGTGGTGCACCTCCACCTCCATCGTCTTTATGAACTTGATCGCAATGGAGCGCTAATCCTGTATGATTTATGAACTTTTCGTTGCATATGGGACAAAGTACCCAGCGGTAGTTTGCGGCTCTCAACGCCGCTTCTTCGGCAATTTGACGCTTGATGTCATCGACCTCTTCCTTGGGAAATCCGTGGACATTTCGCAGGTGCATGTACAAACTCTTCCTTAACAACACTCTCGTACATAGCTTGCATCGCCAAATTTCGTCACCGCCTCGAGCCTTCTTCTTAAAACGAACTATAAGGCGAATCAGTCAAAATGAAAAGAAGAAAAACCAAAAAAGGAAAGGGTCGCTGTCTAACTCGCGCTACGATAACCGACCACATCGAAGCGGTCCGACCTGGAAAGTAGTATGTGTGTCACGAAGTCTGGTGAGTTTTTCGAGAAGATTCTTTCTCATTACCCCGTAAATACGTGTACGCGTGAAAAGATGCTGTACAAGTGAAACGGCATCGGCTACCATAAGCAGTCCCGGAGTCAGTTCCGGCGGCCCAGCGTCGTCGAGAGTGGGTTACGCGCGAAGCAAAATCTCCTATTGCGGTTGACTTTTCTGCGTGGCTCTTCCCAATGACGGTGGGGGAAGAAGGGGTCGTCCAGTCTTTCTACTAGCACTGATAAATAGATTTTTCGGAGCAGCATCAAAAGGAGGTACCGCTATCCGCTCACGTATATACGCATTTTCAGCTTTAAATTCACCGCCCTTTTAACAAACGATATCACCAATTTTCAAAGACAATTCACGGCAATTTTCAAGCAAATTCACCACTTTTCAGAGCAAGTTCAGCACTTTTCAAACTAAATTCACCACTCTTCTCAGACCAGGCAGTTCTCCAATCAAATCACGCCAGAAACCACCGTGAACCCTTCCCCGAGTCCGCCTACTTGTGCGCGAGATTTTCAACATGACTGACTCCGCCCATTCTTTAATTTGTTGCGAACTTCAAATCTTCATAACATTTTCAATTTTTAATTTCACAACACCTTGCACAACGAAGATACTCGCAGACGCGCATTCATGCACCGGCAATTTAGGCTCCCACCCTTTGGCAACGCCCACTTGCTACTTGTGCTTGTGTAAAGGCGATAAGGATGAAAAGTCTCGCCAGTGATTCATCCTTTGTGGGAATGCCGGCACGCCATTCTACTTCCCATTCAGAATCGTAGTGGGTTATTGGATGCGATGTGGCCTATACAATGACTTGCGGTGGCCAGCCGATGTACAAGTCAGTGTTTTATCCTCCCAGACGAGGGAATTGTAGCCGAATTCACCGTCCCCAGGAGGGTAGAAGGCTGAGTTGCCTGGCTGGGAGTCGACCTGGGATTCGAACGCGGGACCCAGCGCGAAATGGGCGTGAGAGCGCCTCGCCACTTGTCAATACACCCATCTCCCGGCCTCGGATTTGTGATATTCTCCTCCGAAATTTTTTTGCCATATTTTGGACTGGGCCCCCGCCCGTGAAGCCCCGCCACTTGAGAGGCTACGGCCCACTTCGAATAAGCCCTGTCCACTTTTCGAAAATGGTGCAATTCGCCAGTACAGAGCATTGGCTTGCTACTAGGGTCTCGTCCTTCACTCGGAACAAATAAATTCGGTTTGTTATATGACGCATCTCTTGCCATGCAAGCCATGGCTCTATACTGCCGATTAGCTCATTTTTTTGAGCGGGGCTTCTTCAAAGTGGGCGGAGCCTCCCATAGTGGGCGGGGCCTCATGGAGCAGTCCCGAGAAATGCAATATTGAAGATATTATAATTCCGCAACAGCAAAGTGGGTGCCAAAGGGGGGAGCCTAAATTGCCGGTGCATGAATGCGCGTCTACGAGTACCTTCGTTGTGCGAAGAGTGGATGTGAAATTAAAAATTGAAAAAGTTATGAAGATTTGAAGTTCGCAACAAACTTTAAAGAATGGGCGGAGTCAGTCATGTGTTGAAAATCTATGTCCGCGCTGACAAGTAGGCGTGACCGTCGGGGCAGGGTTCGCGGTGGTGTCTGGCGTGATTTGGTTGGTGAACTGCCTGGTCTAAGAAGAGTGGTGAATTTGGTTTGAAAAGTGAAATTTGCTTTGAAAAGTGGTGAATTTGGTTTGAAAGGGGGTGAATTTAAAGTGAAAATGGTATAAGTTTCAAAGGGCTATCAACTACCGCACAAGTATTATTGCGTGCCTTTGAGACCTATTTAGACCCGTAGTAGAAGCTAGCACTACGGTATTCAGCTCTACGAAAAAGAAGCACATTTAGGCGACTTGAGAGGGTCAAAATAAGAGCTCTAACTCAATAAACTAATGATTAGACTAGTAACTTGGTTCACTCAGAAAATGCCGCCAAAGTGGCCCCAAACAGGGATAAACCCCTACAGTTATCATCTCTAGAGTCCAGACGGAATGTTTTCGATCTTTGTTTAGTTGAAAACCTTATTACAAGATCGCGTGGGTCCAACGGACTCAGTTGTCCATCGATCTACGTACTTATTCTGACAAGGGGTCGTTCAGGGCGTGGTGAGCTTTTTCAAAATGGTCTTGTGCATATTGTAGGGGCACATACGAGGACCTCAAAACTGAGGTTCATTTTCGCTGCGCGCTTCTACGAATAAAAAAAAACGTAAAAAATAGGTCGATGGTTCGGATCCCACCGAGGACAAAATTTTGCTTTTCTACAGTTTTTCATTTTTTGGATCCATGTTTATCTAAATGATTGGTCCCAACAAAAACATTCACGATAAACTGAACAATCCCACTTTTATGGAGTAAAACTGCTTTTTCGTTCGAATTCGTTTGTATGCACAGACTCAGCTCTTCGGCGCTATGCCGGTGCCAGATGGCACTGGAACCGAAAATAAAGTCTAGAATCGTGATCAGGACTGTCGATTACCCCTAGGAGCAAGTTTTGAGCAAAAAAAATTTTTTTGACTTTTTCGGGTTGTAGGTGACCATTTGGTCGGCAGTGTGAGCGGAGTCTCACATCTTCGTAACAGCGATGCGTATCGTTGACGCTACGGACCCCGGACAACCCAATAAGCAAACCCAGAAAGGTCTAAACAATTGTTTCGACCGAAAATTCGTTTTTAGTGGTAATCAGTGGCCCTGATCACAAATATAAAACCTATTCTTGGCATCCACGCAATTTGGCGACAGAATAGCAGTGAACGTTCCCTATATTGGTGTACATAACAAATTCAGTGGAAAGAAGATGTGGCCCCAAATTGTCTATAATTGACACCACACCAAAGTTACTGAATTCGCAATCAGATCCACTGTATAGCCTATGAGGATCAACGTCCATCAACAATCTTGTTCAATGGTGCGTGAAAATCGAAGTAGTTGAATAGCACTGACTCATGAGGTACAGCTACTCAGAATGTGCCCATAAATGGCAAATATCCGAGTTATATTCATGCGCAGACACTAATGGAAGCGAGAACAGCGAAACCTGAAAAATGCAAAAAGCCGCGACGCAAGGGGAGCCGAACCATCAACCCCACCCTCACTGTCCGATTGCGAAACCTCCACTCTATCCGCTAGGCCATCCGATGCTCGACGTGCTAGCGCTCTTATCGTTGATGAAACCACTGCAAGAAGCCGTTCACCCTTGAGCACGTGATCCAAGTTGGAAGCTCACTTGCGGCGATTTTTCGCTTCGATTCAAATAGCCCCTTTATAAGGACCCCCCACTCAGCAACTGGTCAAAGTTGCAAGTGACCTACGCCGTATAGAGGCCCAGAACGAAGCAGATTCCAAGATTTCTTTTCACTCGTTTTTTACCTTTCCTGGAAGCGCGCAGCGAAAATGAAGCACACTTTTCAGGTCCTTGCATGAGCCCCTACAATATGCAAAACGCTTTCTACAAAAGCACATCTCCTGTAACGAAAAATCGACATGTATCATTTTCGGAGAAATCATGATGGGACAGCTAGAGCTTACTTTATGGCAACCGGCGCAGTTAGGGGGGGGGACCTCTCACTTTCATCACGAAGCAGGCAGCGATATTTTTGCAGATGATTAGAACTGTAATCTATACTAAAATTCTTTGATTCAAAAACACACTTTTTTTGTACTAGTTTTTGTGGCGGAGATGGTGCAGTAGCTAACGGTACGTTTACCAGGCGCGAAAAAAAAAGCGAAAGCAGCTCCTCCACAAAACTGCTAAAGCACAGAATTACGCAAAACGTAAGCTATTGTGTAGTGGTACGGTGCGGCTAAACACGCCGCAGTTTAATGACGCCTTATCAAGCTGCTCAAGACTGCCCGCAATTACTCTCGCTACTTCCCCTATTCTCTATCAAGCAGTCTGCTACCCTCCTAATTCCCTGAACTCTATGCTCCTGAACGCTGGTGGTCGCATAGATGCTGGCGTTTGCTGGACCGTATCCATACTTTCCTAGTCCTTGGTGGACGCTGGTAGACGCTGCCATTCCTAGATCGATATCTATACTTTCCCAGTCGTCGACGACGGACGCTCGAAACGCTGGTGGTGGACGCTGTCGCAAAGTATGAACGCAGCCTCAATCAGCCACTACGGCCCTGAATGGTGGTTAAATGCGTGGCGTATCGATCAATGGTGGAGACCTTATCCTTTCATATTTTTCCAGGGTTATCGTTACCTCCCTATAATTTGCTGTTGTTCACAAGTTTTAAAGCACGTAGTAAAAACCAATAGAAAGCATACTTTGTTATCACTTTCAGATAACATTGGCACCGGTTACTTCTAGCGACTGAGTAGGTCGATGGCCGTTTGGCACAACTTCATGATGACCCTGATTTTCCAACATTCCGTGTAGCATTTCCTCCGTGACGGCATAGCACTTCTGAAATGAAGCTCCCAAACTTGTCCCAAAATTATCATCAGCACGGCGCTGTTCGACATGGGAGGGGCATTTCGCTCTACTGCTGGTCACTTTTGCTAGTTCACGCTAACTGACAGGTCTCATTTTAGTGAAAACTGTAAACTTTTATGAAGCTGCGAAATGGCACAAGTGAACTAACTTGGTATGAGAATTCACAGCTCTTCACAAGGTGATCAGGCTGCACTACAAGGGAGGTCTTTCAGGTCGTGGCGCGCTTTTCGGAAATGATTTGTTGCATGTTGTAGAGGTCCGAATAAGGATCACAAAAATGGGTTTCATTTTTGCTATGCGTTTCTGGGTAGGTCAAAAACT